TTCCACAGTTTGTTGTGATACACACAGTCAAAGGTTTCAGTGTAGTCAAGGAAGCAGAAGTAGATGTTTCTCTGGAAGTTTCTTGCCTTCTCCATCATCCAACAAACATTGACAATTTAATCTCTGGTTCCTCTGCTTCTTTGAAACCCAGCTTTTACATCTGAAAGTTCTCACTTCATATACTGCTGAAGGCTAACTTGAAGGATTTTGAGCATAACCTTGCCAGCACATGAAATGACTGCAATTGAACTATAGTTTGAACATTCTTTGACATTGCCCTTTGGGATTGGAATGAAAACTGACCTTTTCCAGTCCTGTGACCACTGCTGAGTTTTCCAAATCTGCTGATGTACTGAGTGCAGCACTTTAACAGCATCATCTTTTAGGATTTTATATAGTTCAGCTGAAATTCCATCACTTCCACTAGCTTTACTTGACTTTACACTGCAGGATGTCTGGCTCTAGGTGAGTGACCATATCAAGGTGGATATCCAGGACATTAAGGCCTTTTTTGTACAGTTCTTTTATGTGCTCTTGCCACCTCTTCTTAATCTCTTCTGCTGCTGTTAGGGCCTTACCATTTCTGTCCTTTACCACGCCCATCCTTGCATGAAATGTTCCTTTGGTATCTCCAGTTTTCTTGAAGAGATCTCTAGTCCTTTTGATTCTGTTGTTTTCCTCTATTTCTTTGTTCACTTAAGAACGCCTTCTTATCTCTCCTTGCTATTCTCTGTAACTGCATTTAGTTGGGTATATCTTTCTCTTTTGCCCTTGCCTTTCACTTCTCTTCTTTCCTCACCTATTTGTAAAGCATCCTCAGACAACAACTTTGCCTTCTTGCATTTCTTTTTCTTTGGGATGGTTTTGGTCACTACCTCCTATACAATGTATGAACCTCCATCCATAGTTCTCAGGCACTCTCTCTACCAGATCTAATCCTTAGAATCTATTCATCATCTCCAGTGTATAATCATAAAGGATTTGATTTAGCTCATACCTGAGTAGCCTAGATATTTTCCCCACTTTCCTCAATGTAAGCCTGAATTTTGCAATAAGGAGTTCATGATCTGAGCCACAGTCATTCCAGGTCTTGGTTTTACGGTCTGTAGAGTTTCTACATCTTTGGCAGCCAAGAACATAACCAGGATATGTATCTTTCCCTATAAAGACAAATCTCCAGGTTAATGGAGGGCCAAACTGATGACAAAGTAATCAACCTGATAAAAGCTTGTCTCTTGATGAAAGCATCATATCGGGAACTCACGATTTACTGCTACTATTGATGAACTGGACAATCAGCAGTATTAATAATTATATCCTGGTAAATATTCTTGTTGACAGATTGTCCTTAGTGTGAAGAAGTCCAAGTAGTGCATTTATGCAAAGTCATCATTACTCTCACCAGCTCTTTTTACATGAGCTTACTGAGGAAGAATTTCGAGTGGTTAGAAAAAGATGAGAGAGGCTGATTAACATTGACAGGATGGGTCACCTTGTCTGATTGCTAAAGAGCCTCTTACAAAACGCATGCCATTTTCATGTGCTAGTTTCATGAGGTTCATCTGCATATTCTCCTGGCTGCATAATTCTTATGTTGCTCTAAGTCCCAACCATACATTAGTATAAATTCATACCTCAGCATAAGTTTAGCATCAGAGGATGAGATGGTTGGATGGCATCACAGACTCAGTGGACGTGAGTCTGGGTGAACTCCCGGGTCGGTGATTGTCAGGGAGGCCTGGTATGCTCCAGTCATGGGGTCGCAAAGAGCTGGACACAGCTGAGCGATGGAACTGAACTGAACGCCTATAAAGATTAGTATAAATTTACACCTCCTGGGTGGCTCAGCTGGTAAAGAATCCTCTCACAGTGCAGGAGACCCCATTTGATGCCTGGGTCAGGAAGTTGCCCTGAAGACGGCTACCCACTCCAGTATTCTTGGGCTTCCCTGGTGGCTCAAAATGTAAAGTATCCTCCTAAAACACAGGAGACCTGGGTTCAGTCCCTGAGCTGGGAAGATCCCCTGGAGGAGGGTATGGCAATCCACTCCAGTATTCTTGCCTGGAGAATCCCATGGACAGAGGAGCCTGGNCTTGCCTGGAGAATCCCATAGATAGAGGAGCCTGGCAGGCTACAGTCCATGGGGTTGCAAAGTGTTAGACATGACTGAGCAACTAAGCATAGCATACCTCAGGGCATCCCTTCTATGCTAAGTGGTCAACAGCTGGACATTCACTGGACTGATTTCCTGTATTTCAAGGCCACTGTTGAGTGGAGCTGTAATATAGTGGCTATCCTTTTCCTCATTTCAATAAGAAAACTTTATATTCACACATTTAAATGTTTCCTTTTCCCCGGGAATATTTTCTAGTATTGTTAAAAGAAGCTATATGTATTATAGAATGTAAGAAAAATTCAGCATATAATTATCAGTTAATGTGATATACCACATTAACAGAATAAAGGACAAAAGTACATGATCATCTTTAAGGATTCAGAAAAAGCATTCAACAAAGTTTAACACCATTTCATTATAAAAGACACTCAACAAACTAGGAAGAGAAGAAAATTACCCCAACATAATAGAAGCTATATATGAAAAGCCCACTGCTAATATTGTATTCAATGTGAAAAACTGAAAGTTCTCCCTCTAATATCTGCAGCAAGGTAAAGATACCTACCTACTTTTACCACTGTTATGCAACATAATACTCAAATTCTAGCCAAAACAAATAGGCAAGAAAAAGAAATAAAAGGCATCCATATTGGAAGGAAGAGGGAAAATTATCTCTGTCTGCAGATGATATGAACTTCTAAGAAAATGCTAAACACTCCAAAGAAAAAAAAACTGTTAGAACTAATAAATGAACTCAGCAAAGTTGCAGGATACAAAGTTAATACAACTCAAGTGTGGTTCTATGCACTAACAATGAGCAACATGCAAGGCCAAGACTTGTACACTGGAAACTCCAAAACATTGCTGAAAGAATTAAAGAAGATACAAATAAATGGAAGAAAGACATGCTCATAGATCTGAAACTCAGTATTGCTAAAATGCCCTTAATACCCAAAGTGACCTTCAGATTCAATGCAATCCCTATCAAAACCCCAATAGCATTTTTCACAGAATTAGAAAAAAATCCTAAAATTTCATATGGAATCTCAAAAGACCCCAAATAGTCAAAACAATCCTGAGAAAGAAAAAACAAAGTCAGAAGCTTCATATGTCCTGGTTTCAAAATATATTACAAAGCTATAGTAATCAAAACAATATGGCACTGGTATAAAGCCAGAATCTAGAACAATGGAAGAGAATAAAGATCCAAGTAATATACTCTCGTAAATATGAGACAAATCATATTTTACAAGAAGAATAAGAACATACAACAGGGAAAGGATAACCTCTTGAATAAATGGTGCTGGAAAAACTGAATATCCATGTGCCAAAGAATGAAGTGGGATCCTTTCCTTACAATATATATGAAAATAACTCAAAGTGGATTAAATATCTAAACATAAAACTTGCAACAATAAAGCTCCCAGAAGATAATATATGAGAAAAGCTTCATGGTGTTGGTTTTGGGAATTAATTTTTGATATGACACCAAAAGCACAGGCAGCAAAAATAAGATTAGAGCAGTGGAACTACATTGAACTTAAACTGGACAGCAAAGGAAACAACACAGTGAACAGAGAAATGACAGAATGGGAGAAAATACAGGCAAACCATTTATCTGGAGTAAGGCTAACATCCAGAATATAGAAAGAATTGTGTCAACTCAATAAGAACAAAAATCTGATTTTTAAAATGTGCAAAGGACTTGAATAGATATTCTTCCAAAGAAGATATACAAATGACCAACAAGTATGTGAACATCACTAATCACTAGGAAAATGAAAATCAAAACCACAACAAAATATCACCTCGTACACACCTATTTGGAAGGCCATTTAAAAAAAGAGGAAATAATAAGTGTTGGCAAAGATATTGAGAAACTGGAAGCATTATGCACTATTAGCGGGAATGTAAAATGATACAGCCACTGTGGAAAACAATATGGAAGTTCCTCAAAAAATTAAAAATAGAAATACCATACAAACCTAATAATCTGGGTATATATATCCCCAGAATATTGAAGATAGAATCTCAAAGAGATATTCATACATCCATGTTGAAGTAACCTAAAGGTCAACTGACAAATAGATAAAGAAAATGTGGTTCATACATACAATGAAATATTATTTATCCTTAAAACAGAAGGAAATACTGTTATACGCCACAACATGGATGAGTCTTGAGGACATTATCCTAAGTGAAATAAGCCAGTCATAAAAGGACAATTGCTTCATGATTCCATTTATGTAAGGTATCTAAAGTAGTCAAACTCTTAGAAAGAGAAAGTAAACAGGGGCTGAGGGGAAGGGGGAAATGGCGAGTTGGTGTATAACGAGCATCATTTCTTACTTAGGTTTTTTAGATTTTTTTTTTTGGCTGTGCTGCACAGCATGTGGAATCCTAATACTCTGACCAGGGATTGAACCTGCACTCCCTGAAGTGAAAGCTCAGAGTCTCAACCACCGGATTGTCAGGGAAGTCCCAACTGTATAATGGATATAGAGTTTCAGCTTTGCAAGACAAAAGAATTTTAGAGATATGCTGCACAATATTATGCATATAGCTAACATTATTGTATTATACACTTAAAAATGGTTAGAATGGTAAATTTTATACTGTGTGTTTCTTGCCACAATTAGAAAAAACTATATGCAGAATTAGTAGTAAGGCTGTCATCATAAGTCACTTTTTAAATTATATTTCAAACAGCAAAGTGTATTTTAGATGTATTTATATGTACATATATGTGTATACTAGTCACATTTATATACTTTAAAAAATATAATTATTATAAATTAAATATACATTTATAAGTTACAGTATCTATTCAATAAATATTTTATACAATGTAAACCAGAAAGAAAGGGAAAAAAAAACAGCTTACCTTTTCTCAGAAGTACTATTCACAGATAGCACAAAGACCTTAATTAGGGGTGCTCCTATAGCATAACCCAAAGAATATCCGAGTATTCCTACAGCTTCCACAATGCCTATAAAATGAATACTGAACATCAAATAACTACATAACCCAGCTTTGTTGCAAAATGATAAAAATTATCTAATTGAAATGGGTTACTTCTGAAAGCTTCATTGTATACTTTGTTAGTCTCCAAAGAAACAGAACAAATAGAATATTGAGAAAGAAAACAGACAGGGATTTCAAAGAAGTGGCTCATGAAATCATAGGGCTGGCAAGTCCAAATTTGTAGGGCAGGCTCTCAGGCTGGAAATTCAGGTAAGAGTTAATGTTACAGTCTTGAGCTCATAAGGTTAAATCCACAGGGCAGGCCAGTAGGATGGGAAAACTCAGACAGAGTTTGTACATTGCAGTCTGGAGACAGAACTGTTTCCTCCTTGGGAAACCTGTCTGTTCTGCAAGGCTTCAACTGATTGGATAAGGCTCACCCATACTATTGAGAGTAATCTTGACTCAAAGCCTACTGACTGTAAATACTAGTCACATCTAAAACATATCACAGAAATATCGAGACTGGTGTTTGACAAAAGAACTAGTTGTCATAACCTAGCCAAGCTGACACATAAAATTAATCATGCATATTACTCAATGCACATACAGAAATTCAGATAAGTTTATAATTCACTGTAACATTTAATCTATAAGTTAATATAATGTAAATAAATATACATATATTCAATATAATTCAAAAGTATTTCACTTTAATTTGTGGTACTAAAGCAAGATGATATTTCAATATAAACATCATTTTTGCATCCTTCACTTTAGCTGCCATGGAGGCAGAAGGTAATAATACAGTAATCTATTCTCTGTAATATATACATGTATGCTTTTAATTGCTATTCTGTAAAACTAAAAGCAAAACAAACAGATTTGTTGCTACTATCAGCCAACACTAATAAATTGGTTCAATTTTGTTCTAAAAGCAAGCATAAATATGAATGTCATCTATTTTAGTTTATTGACATGACTTTCCTTATCTCTGGTGGAAAAATTATTATTTTGGTGTAAAATGTTATTTTCTGTTAAGTCACCTTCACAATAGGTATGTAAAAACAACTTAATTTTTTTTCAGAAAGGAAAGTTAGATAACCCTGTACAAATATATGATCTACCGGGACGAGAAACTATTACAATATAAAGGAGTACAGATTATTGTGAGATATACTCAGGGTTACTTTTTGTATGACTCACTAGCATGAAATATTATAAAAGTCGAATTCTACACTGTAGCTAATTAAATAGCATGTCACTCTTCTCCTTGATAGGACGAACAAGATTATAACAATAACTGTTACAAATTCATTAACGTCAAAATGTCAAAGCCCTCCAAAAAGACTGAGTTGGTACATGTAGAGAGCTTGGTACAGGAATAATTATTTCAGCACTGCACTGAGTCTAGTTCTGAGGAAGCATAAAACGATGTTTTCATTCCCTTGAGGACATGATGGCAGCAAATCCCACTACATCTTCAAAGTTTAAGCATACAAATATTCAAGCAATTTAGTCTAGTAATTGGAGTTCTTTATTTCCCAGAGAAACGAACCACAGCCTAAGTAGTTTGATAGGATGAAAACATATAAAAATCATAAGACAAGGGAAAAAACTTGCCTAGGTAAATGCCGGCTGAGTGTGTGGCAACGCTGTTATAAATAAAGGTCATTCCAAGGACATAAAGGGGTATGCCCGCTATTCCCTGCACACTCTGTCCAAGGATGAAGAAGGTCATGTAGTTTGATCGGAATGATAATGGAGCTTTCGAGCAAGGCTTGACAGTCTTCACTGCTTGGCAAATATCTTTTGAAAAGATAATTACATTTTTGTTAAAAGGGTCAAAAGTTAAACATACAACAAATATTCAGGGTCTTCTATGAAACATTTTACCTTTTATAAGCTATTTCTACCATAATGTTTTAATTTTAGTTAATATCTCATTTATATTGAATGTAGCAGTTCTACAGTAAATTGTCATGTTCTCAGAAAAAAGCAATGATAAAAGAAAATTTGTGGGAATGCTGGAAAAGATGCACATATTACAAACCAAATATAAATCTTTATTGCATGATTATATGTGTATACATTTATGTGTGCATAAGTATATATACACAGCCACACATACACACATACTCCTCTTAAATCTGGCATCTGGTACCCCTGAGTTTCGACCACAGAACAAAAGTATTTCTGATATCCTAAATTATCTGAATTACTAAAGATTACTTTCTGAGATTAATTATAGATCAACTTCTTCAGCAATCTTCATGTTAACTTCATGTCACTAAATAGTTTTCCATTTTAAACCCACTAACTTCTAGAACACAGGTGCATAAGGACAAGGCATTATATAATAAAATTTCTCTCTCTTAGAGTTACTCACTATATAGCAATGTATTATATCTTAAATTCTTTGACGGGACATTCCATTTCTTATGCTTTCTCAAATTCACATGACTGTAGATCAATAGTCAACAAATATTTGTTGGAATTAAATTTATTGTTAGATTAGCAGATCCAGGCAATGCTCTTAGATCATTCTGATTGTGTCTATTTTTGATTCAAATGTGTCTATTTAACAAAATGTTCTTAAAATATTAGTTCAGTTCAGTTCAGTTCAGTCGCTCAGTCATGTCTGACTCTTTGTGACCCCCATGAATTGCAGCACACCAGGCCTCCCTGTCCATCACCAGCTCCCGGAGTCTACCCAAAACCATGTCCATTGAGTCAGTGATGCCATCCAGCCATCCTCTGTCGTCCCCTTCTCCTCCTGCCCTCAATCTTTCCCAGTATCAGGGTCTTTTCAAATGAGGCAGCACTTCGCATCAGGTGGAGTTTCAGCTTCAACATCAGTCCTTCCAATGAACACCCAGGACTGATCTCCTTTAGGATGGACTGGTTAGATCTTCTTGCTGTCCAAGGGACTCTCAAGATTATTCTCCAACACCACTGTTCAAAAGCATCAATTCTTCAGTGCTCAGCTTTCTTTATAGTCAAACTCTCACATCCATACATGACCACTGGGAAAACCATAGCCGTGACCAGACAGACCTTTGTTGGCAAAGTAATGTCTCTGCATTTTCATATGCTGTCTAGGTTGGTCATAACTTTCCTTCCAAGGAGCAAGCATCTTTTAGTTTCATGGCTGCAATCCCCATCTGCAGTGATTTTGGAGCCCAAGAAAAATAAAGTAAGCCATTGTTTCCACTGTTTCCCCATCTATTTGCCATGAAGTGATGAGACCAGATACCATGATCTTAGTTTTCTGAATGTTGAGCTTCAAGCCAACTTTTTCACTCTCTTCTTTCACTTTCATCAAGAGGCTCTTTAGTTCTTCTTCACTTTCTGCCATAAGGGTGGTGTCATCTGCATATCTGAGGTTATTGATATTTCTCCCGGAAATCTTGATTCCAGCTTATGCTTCCTCCAGCCCAGCATTTCTCATGATGTACTCTGCATATAGGTTAAATAAGCAGGGTGACAATATACAGCCTTGACGTACTCCTTTTCCTATTTGGAATCAGTCTCTTCCATGTCCCGTTCTAACTGTTGCTTCCTGACCTGCATACAGATTTCTGAAGAGGCAGGTCAGGTGGTCTGGTATTCCCATCTCTTTCAGAATTTTCCACAGTTTATTGTTATCCACATAGTCAAAGGCTTTGGCATAGTCAATAATGCAGAAATAGATGTTTTTCTGGAACTCTCTTGCTTTTTTGAAACTGGTAAAAGCATAGATTGCAAAAATGTACACATGTGGAATTTTTCAGCTGGTCCAGGATCCACATGTCAAATTGGAGGAGGTCTCTAGAACTGTGATCCAAACTGCTAATGATTCAATTTTACATAAACGTATTAATTAGTGGTGATGTTACAATCAATCTGACATTTTCAACACCCTAGCCTCTTAGTTTCTTGAATTTCACTCTGTCCATGTACTTGTACTCCATTTACCTTAGCTATTCATTTTAAACTTTTGGAAACAATAACTACAAATCTTCTTAATTGCAATTCCAAGCATCCTACACTCAAACTATTTCCACCTTTTCAGATCACTCCTTCTAGCAACCAAGTTGCTACACTCCTTAAAACCCACGAGGACCTATAATCAACCCACTGAGCACACTCCATTTTACTATCTCAATGTCATCTCCACCGCCTTACTTTTTTCATAGTCATCTTAGCACTTTTAAAACCTTTGTTCTCTTTTATATCATGCAATCCCTTAGTAAAATTTCAGCCTTTCAGTCAAATTAAACTCTGGTCCATACTCTATACCTACACATTTAAAGCTGAATGTGGCTGGAGGGAAACACACAACAAGGCAAATCTCACTTTGAATGCACGATTGTTAAACTCAACTAGGCCCTTCACCCTCCTGATAATCAAATGTGTCCCTAATGGACCACTCTTGGCTTTTCCTAGGAAATTCAACTTGTTTTCCTTCTCCTAAGGATTGTGGGCCTGAGAGTCAAATGTCCAACATTTGAAAGCAAATGTTTTTCCACCAGTAGGATACATCTAATCTTTTGGTACCCTTCTTCATCTTAAAAAATATCCTTTGATTGGACTATAATTTCAAGAAGAAGGGTGGCAGGCAAGAAATGTAATAAATAGAACTTTTAATTATATTAAGTAACAAATTATGATTATAGTTTGGCGAGAATATATCTGTTGCGGTGTTTATGGTGAGGGCCATGTTAAAGTGGGTTGAGTGAAGAATATGAGATAAAGCCAGATAGCATTCTGAAATTCTTTCCAAAAATTTCAATGAAAATGAGGAAGTTGTGCTAAAGGATACTGTTGGTTATGTTTATTGTTGTTTCAGTTGTTTAAGAATAGGAAAGAAAAACCTGAGCACGTTTGAAGGCCAATACATGAGAAGTGAAAGAGAAGGAGGAGTTGCAGAAAGAGGGGCAAGGAGACCACCCGTGGAATAAAGTCCCCGTGGAGTTAAAAGAGCACAGGATGTTTAGCGGGAGGAGAGCTCTTCCATTTTAACAGGGTGGAATAAGAGTGCCAATATGAAGCTATAGGTCAAGTTATAGTTTCTATGGGAAAAAATTTAAGGGAAATTTCTATTATGGCAGTGTTTTCCATCCAACACAAAAGGTAAGAGTTAAGTGAGATGTTATAGGCTGAATGTTTAGAGTTTCATATATTGAAACCCTAATCCCCAATGTGATGACATTTGGATATGGGGGCTTTTGAATAGTAAATAGCTCATGAAGGTAGGACCCTTATGAGTGGGATTGGTACCCTTATAAGAAGAGAGGACACATGAGGGCTTACTCTCTCTCTCTCTCTGTTATACGAGAACATACCCTGGAAATGAATCAGCTGGCACCTGGATCTTGAACTCTCAGCCTTCAGAGCTGTGAGAAATGTTTTTGCTATAGCAGTCTATGATGTTTTTGCTACGGCAGCCCAAACTAAGACATGAGGAAAATCAAAAATCTTTGTTGTGAATTACAGAAGGGAGTTTAAAAAAAAGTCAGTGGAATAGATCCATTTGAGAATATAACTGAGGTTGAAAGTAGCAAATTCATTGTGGGACTAAGCAGTCCTCTTGTGTGATTTTTTTCTCTAAAATACTCATGAGCAGGCCAGGTATAGATATAAAAGAGAGGTATATGGTTGGATCAAAAGTTTTCCAAAGCAGGAACAAGAAAGGACAATGAGACAGAGAGCTTAGTATAATCATTAGAGTGTGTCTGAAATACACATGTCATATTAAGGGACACAAAACAAGCTACAAATGAAGGAAGTAACAACAAGGAGAACCTGATAAAGGGAGAAAGTAGGTGTCAATATACTAAAAGTTTCAATGAAGGGAGAGAACTGAAGTCTCAGTTACATGAGTGAGCTAGGAGAACTAGTGGATATAATCAGGGAGCAAGACAAGAGATATTTAGGAAGTTCTTAGTAAACTGACAATGCACTGAAACCATTGATATGGTAGTTATTCAATTATATGTAGAGATTTAGAAACTAAAGGCCAGAGTGTGATACAACTGTTTTCATGAACTAGAGGGGAAAATTAGTTTTACCTTCTCAAGGATTTGACGGAGTATGATTCCTACATGTTAGTTAGGACATAGGGGATGAAGACCAACTTATCATGAGTACTGAAACCTGAGACAGGGCAGAGAAAGGGAGTGTGAGGTGGTGGTAAATGGACTGCTTCAGACCAGTCATACAGGAAGATGAGTATGGCAGGTAACTGGGGAATACAGACCAAATAAAATAGGAGAGATATTCAGAAAAGAGGAAGCAATGGACTGTCCCCAAAAAAAGGATGAAAGAACATAATTAAAAATATATACATATGAATTGTGGGCATAGTGCAGAAAATTAGTTATGTAAAAACTAAACTTCTAAACAAAATGAGCAAAACAGCCACATAGATAGATGGATGAAATGAGCACTTCTACTTGCAAAGATCATTCATTTACTTTATTTCTGTTTTTCTCATACCAAGCAAAGGGTTACCCAGTCAACACATTGAATGAGTGTTGTTAGATAAGTTTTATGTTCCTACTCACAAGCAGAAAATAAAATATGTTGAATCTAGATAATACAAAGAAGACAAAGAACAACTATACTATTTCTACTCTCATTACTCCTGAGGATTCATCAAGCTGCACTTTTAATATCTCAAGCAGTGCTTCCTAACAGTTAGTCCTTTCTGACCAGAACAGGGTTAAAGGAAAACTAGGAGCAAAATGTTCTCCATTCCCTTATTTCCATAAGTCATCTTCTAATTCAACCAGCTGTCTATCCTATAAATATAATAAAGATATTAACCTATATATAATATAGGCAAGATACTAGCCTATAAATATATATAGCCTAAATATAGTCTATAAATTAATAAATGTATTTATTCTATACGCATTCTGTAAATATAAAGATTATAAATACATGTGAACATTATATACTTCATAAATTAGTGATATATGATACATATTATTATTTACAATATGAATTATAGTATATCTTAATACATAAATTATTGCATTTAATATGAACTACTCTTATTTATGTTATAAACACACAGCATAAACACACATCATAAACATACTTTTAAACATCATAAACATGTATGTACACATATATACACATACACATGCATAAAGGTATCCTCATGCCTTTTCCATCATTTCTTGCTTAAGCCCAGTCTAAAGTTTACAAATGGGTAAATGCATTTCAACACTTTTACACACCTATACACAACAAGAAAGTACCTGACATAAAAGTGTCAAAAATAGTGCTTTAAAACTTCAAATAGTTTTTTTTTATCTACTGGGGGTCGATTAAAAAAATATGGAATAAATCAGAAAAAATTAAGAAAGCAAAGATGCCACCTATCTTTTCAAAGTCCTATGCCAAAGAGATATTAACCTATATATAATATAGGCAAGATACTAGCCTATAAATATATATAGCCTAAATATAGTCTATAAATTAATAAATGTATTTATTCTATATGCATTCTGTAAATATAAAGATTATAAATACATGTGAACATTATATACTTCATAAATTAGTGATATATGATACATATTATTATTTACAATATGAATTATAGTATATCTTAATACATAAATTATTGCATTTAATATGAACTACTCTTATTTATGTTACAAACACACAGCATAAACACACATCATAAACATACTTTTAAACATCATAAACATGTATGTACACATATATACACATACACATGCATAAAGGTATCCTCATGCCTTTTCCATCATTTCTTGCTTAAGCCCAGTCTAAAGTTTACAAATGGGTAAATGCATTTCAACACTTTTACACACCTATACACAACAAGAAAGTACCTGACATAAAAGTGTCAAAAATAGTGCTTTAAAACTTCAAATAGTTTTTTTTTATCTACTGGGGGTCGATTAAAAAAATATGGAATAAATCAGAAAAAATTAAGAAAGCAAAGATGCCACCTATCTTTTCAAAGTCCTATGCCAAAGAGCAGCACCCATTTTTGAAATGGTAGAAATAGCTAGAAAAGTTCTGACTTTCTGAGTTTGTCTGTGTAAGTGTTTTTATCTTTGCCTTTGTATTTATATACACGTGTTTAGGTCAAAATAAAGGGGTCAGTTAAAATGTATTGTAGAAGACATAAGAAATTACTGAAGTTCTCAAAAGATTTATAATATATATGAAAATTGACAGGAGAAAAACAACTTCACGAAATAATTATCCCAAATATTGCCCTAAATATTCTTTCATCTTCCTAGGCCCTTCTGTTAGATGAAAGGATATATGTTCATGAGAAGATGGAAGAATGGCATATATGTGATTAGGGAGCCACCGTTAATTAGCTTAGTAAACTTGATCACATAAATAGATACAGATGAATGAACGTACAGACAAGTATCACTGTTTATATTAAGTTCCTAGAGCCAATGGTTTAAATGAATAATACTTTGATGGGTGACAGTATCTTTTAAAATCTTACCTTCAATTTCTACATTCCTTTGAGAATCTTCAACACGAAAGTATGGAAAAGCAAATAAGAGTGATGCAGACCCTACTAAAAAGGAGGAGACTGTAATCCACCTTGGTATGTTTCCTTTCCCTCCATAGTATGCGATAAACACTACCACCAGGCAGGATGAAATATCGTAAGTCAATGACAAGAATACATTCTCAACGATGTTCAAGTTATTTTCCTTCTTAAAGCTCTCAGTGCTCAGATCTACAAGACCAAACACAACACCTAAAATGTAAAAAGAAAAGAAGCAATAATATGCATTAAATGATCTTTATAAAGACAAAATAGATCATTATAATCACTAAAAAAACAATTCACAATGATTTAAGTTTATTTTAAATTACTCTGAATGCTTAAAATCTATAAAAGCCTAATAACTTCTTTTCCAAAATACTAATAAGACTTCAGTTCAGTTCAGTTCATGTCTGACTCTTTTGTGACCCCATGGACTGCAGCACACCAGGGCTCCCTGTCCATCACCAACTCCTGGAGCTTGCTTAAACTCATGTCCATCCAGTCAGTGATGCCATCCAACCATCTCATCCTCTGTTGTCCCCTTCTCCTGCTTCCAATCTTTCCCAGCATCAGGGTCTTTTCCAATGAGTTCGTTCTTTACATCAGGTGGCCAAAGTACTGTAACTCCAGCTTCAGCATCAGTCCTTCCATTGAATATCCAGGACTGATTTCCTTTAGGATGGGCTGGTTGGATCTCCTTGCAGTCCAAGAGACATTCAAGAGTCTTCTCCTAACCTCTATGATTTGCTTCTGAACTTTTTTGGTAACTTTTTAAACAGTATTTATGAGTAATTTACTAAAGAATGCGTTCTTTTTAATCATTTCACTTAGTGCTGATCTTTATTTCAATGTATTATGCTTCAATTATTTAAAAAACAATAAATAAACAATCTAATGAATACATTTTTATCTCCCATCCAGAATAGGAAATGAAACTTTACCAAAATAGTTGAAACTCCACATGTACTCCCTAAACACATTCTTCACTCTCATGCCACAACCCATATCCTATATTTGAAGTTTACCATTTCTAAGCCATTTTAACACTTTCTTTGACAATGCATATATACATCCTTAGACAATATAGAGTATCATTTGTCATGTCTTTGAACATTAAGTAAATGGTATCATATAGGGGCATTTCTATAACTCAGCATCCAACTGGGAAAAATAAACATACTAAATATTTGAAACAGAAAGAAATTGATCTAGGGGTTGGTTACAAAAGTAACACATTTGTTGGAATGAAAAGAAGAAAGTTACTAATCAAAACTCATGAAATATATGCCACTAACTGGAGTAGTGACTGGAGTGGCAACAGGAACTGCAATCACTGCCTCTTGCAGGAAGCCATGACCCACACACCTAATAATACTACAAAAGCTGGCTACCTCGTGGTCCTGTGCTATTTCCACGGCTCTTGCAGGTGCTTGAGACAGCGCCCGTAAGTTCTGTATCACTGCAGCCTCCACTATTGTTGGTGTTGAAACTCTATTCACTGCTGACTATAAATCCAGGAGTCTCACTTACCCAGTACTGCTGCTGTTGCCAAAATTATCACCAGAATAGAGAGAGAAAAAAGAGAAAGGCTTTCCCTGCCCCCTTTTCAAATGTTCTGCCACAGCCTCTTACTGGCAGCACCTAAGTGGAGGCCAATTGTCAAGGAAGTCTGGTAAATGTAGTTTTACAGGCTGCCTGTCCCCTTGGAAACAGGAGAGAGTCCAGAAGGGCAACAATCGAGTTTATGGGCAACAGACAAACAACTTGAAGAGCTCACCCTCTGGACTACTCAGGACACATTTTCACCCTTCTTTCCATGTTTAAACTTCCATACCAAATTAACAGCAACATAATCATGCTTCTGCCAAATATGCCGCAATAATAATTCTTACAAACAAAAATGTTCTCGCTCTTTCCCCAGAAAGGTCATTCTCACCCTTCTTCAATCCACTCACAAAACTGAATGCATTTCTTCAATATAAAAATGAGTTGCAAGGTATAAATGGTATAAGTAAATAAATAAGTAAGCAAAGATGTAGGCCTAACTAAAACTGTGAGGGAACTATACTACAAAAGAAATCATAATCATACTTAGAACCACAGTTTAACAGACCTAAATTAGCAAGAATCAAGATATAAACATTTTTCTGTACCTAAAAGAATTTTTTTCAACTCTCATTTTAGATGTGGCCAAGGAGGATAATGGCCAAGGCAAAGAATGTCCTGTTAGTAACTGTATCTGTCTCTGGGGTTGGGGCATTGGTTCCTCCTCTAATTCATGAATATTTTGCAACCTAGAGACAAATTTGTTAAGTTCTCTTCTACAATACTATTCTGTTAAATAGTAAGGAAAAGAGGAAGAGAAAAACTTAAAAACTGAAATACATGCAAATATATATATGTTTGTGTGTGTGTACACATAAAACAAGAGAAAAATGCACAGTTGCTACATATTTTATTTAAATCTGAATATACCATAGTTGATATTCATAACTTCCTTTTTCCATTATTCACCCTTTCTTCTTCCTCTAGGTCTCAGATAACACATATGTAGGTTACTATCATAAAGTATATGCCTCCCTCTTTAGGATAGTACCAAAACTTTTGATTGCTGTCTCCTAGCTGAAGCCTCATCTGAGTCTTTAATAGGACAATATAACAATCTATAAGGCTAAGGGTTCCTAGCTCATGAGCTGTGTAGTAAGACTAGTGAATTCCATGAAAATGAACGTTTTGATGTACTTCTTTGGCTGTAAGATGAGTTCCTTCATTAAAAGCAATGTGATAGATAATACATAAGATGATTATGATGGTGCATGAGGCACTCATCAAGGCCAATTATAGTTGTTCTGGCAGAACCATGGTGCTAAAAGAACCCAGATCTAAACATCTATTTCAGTAGGGAGAAATTAAACAAACAACATAATCAACCTGCCTCTAGGTAGCTGGTTGGTTTCTCTAGGGAGTGAAGTTATTTCCTGGATTGTATTGAATTTTCCTGGTGGCAATTCAGGCACTCAAAAATGCAATAGTCAGATCAGCTCTGATGAAGATAAATCCTTGCATTCAGCTCTCATATAAACTTTATCTCTAATGCAATTATCATTATAAATATGAGCCCATTGAGAACACATACAATGGCAGGGAAGAGGCTGATTAATATTTACAGGATAGTTTATCTACCTACTTCATTATTGATAGCTTCCTCTGCAATGGATTTCTTTTGGTGAACCATTCAAATAGGATAACTTTGCCCATTCAGAGACACATACTACTTACCCAACTTTCCTAGTCACCAAATGGTCTAAACCATTAACAAGGACAGCATGGTATCTAAGCAATACAGACAATCAGACATCCTCTCCAATGTTTTGCCCACTGGAAGGATTTCCTTTCTCCTCTGTTTTTCAGGGCTATGCTGCTGCATATAACATTATACTGTAGCATACTTTGGCCTTCAAAAAACCACAGGTTCACCAAAGATTATGTTCTTTCTCAGTAGTAGATGGTAGAAATGAAGAAACTTTTCTTTCATTTTAGAAGAGGTAGCCCTGCAGCATATCAGTTACATGCTGATATTTCAGCATATCCCTAGAGGCATTGCTGAAGTGGCAGGCAAATTTTGGGTATATAAGATGTTATCTCCCATGACAGATCTTATGTTAGTCATTCTAAGAAGGCTGGAATCTGATTCTAACTATGAGTCTAGTAGCAATGAGAGGTAGGATGGGTCAAGAGAGCAATCAGTGTTCCCTTAACTCAGGTGAAGTAAATTCAGTGTCTGCAAGCAAGCAATTGCTTTTTAGAGACATAGAAGAATGGTTGCCCATACTGGGAAAGGAGGTTCAGGATTCAGGGTTTATAGTTGTTGGATTCATGGAAATCCATACTAATGCTTTTGGCCCAGTTCTCAGGGTTCCACTCTCCTCCAATCAATGTCCCAACTCTCACACATGAGATCACATGAATTTATGAATTCAACTTATGCTGCAATTCTGCAAGTGTGGGTAAGGGTTACTGTTGTTCCAAATACACAGTATGAGGCTAAAAGGGAAAATTCTCACAGGACCATCAGAGAACCTCACACATTTTCTAATCATGCCCTAAAATTCTCATTTTCTTTCTGTAACTTTTTCAGTGAAGTGAGAAACAGTCAATCCCAAAAACTTTGTAGTCAATGATACCACCATGGGAGTTAACTGCAGAAGCTACTGGTCTCCCAAAATCTTGACTCCAATAATAACTTTACCTCAGCCACATTTTAAATAACGCTTAAGTCACTTCATGTGTTGACTTCCAGTGTACCATTTTCCACAGGCACAAATACTGGTTTTTTTTTTCATCACTTTCAAGCCCAGTCAGGTCAGATAACCAATTTTAGATTCCTATCTTTGAAGGTTGATTTGTTTCTATTTTTCCTGGCTCAATGCCTAGTATGGAGTACTACATTAAAAAATCATATAACTTTTGCAATTTATAGACAAACTAGTTTTATTACATTAATGAAGCCAAAAATTTAGAAAACCATTTTCAAATATCTTTATATTATATATCATGATATTTACAAGATAAAGGAATATTATTCCTGTTACACATCAGATACCTTAACCGATTTCTTAGCCACTTCAATTCATAATTTTTCCAAAGAATATGTTTTTAATATGATCTTATTTCTAACTGAATGAAAATGGACAGGAATTGGTGAATTTAACTCAGAGGACCATCATATCTACTACTGTGAGCAGGAATCACTTACAGGAAATGGAGTAGCCATCATAGTCAAAAAAGAGTCAGAAATACAGTACTTGGATGCAATCTCAAAAATGACAGAATGATCTCTGTTCATTTCCAAGGCAAACCATTCAATATTACGGTAATCCAAGTCTATGCCCCAACCAGTAACGCTGAAGAAGCTGAAGTTGAATGNTATCAATGGGGTATAATAAATAAAAACATACATAGGCCCTGTCATTATGAAATTTATGTTCATAACAATTTTTCAAGTCTATTTTTATCCAGTGTGACTGATCCCCCAATCCAAAATTTATATTCTATATTTATTTAATCAGTAATCAACTTTTTTTATCCAATATTTTTAACACTTGCTTCAGTAACCTTTCTCAATCAATTCAAATCTGTCACTTCGATTTTAAGATTCTCAATTAGCTATCTTTTAATTTCACTCCTTTTTTGTTTTATCCCATCATCAT